CAGTGGCTTGTCACCTGGATCTTTCATCAGCTTGTCCAGGTGTGGGGCAGAGGGTCTGGAGAAAGACTCCTCTCTTACTCAAACACCAAGGGACATGTGCTGAAACAAGATGTGGGCGAATTTGGTCCTGCACAGGCAGGAAATGGGCACTAGGGCAGAGCTGGTGGCAGCCGGCCAGAGCGCTGAAGGTGCAAGCCAACAAAGAGCTGGTGCACAAAGGCCAGATGTTTGGTTTTGGCTGCAAGCATTTAAGAAAATCAATTTTAAATCTACTTCAAATCACCACTCAGCTAATGAAAGAGACCTCCGTGGTCACACATAACAATGAATCTTTACATAGACTGACTGCATGTTGGGCCACAAACCAAATCTTTAAAGAATAAAATTTTAAGAGACTGAAATCACAAAAAGTGTCTCTGACTACAGTGGAATGAAGCTAGAAATGAACAGCACCAGGAAAACTGGAAAATCTACAAACACAACAGGCTCATAAACAGCCAACGGGGCAAAGACATCACATGGAAAGCTAGAAAAATCTTTGAGCTGAATGGAAATGAAAACACAACATACCAAGACATGGATTGAAGCAAAAAAAAAAAAAAAATGCTCTCATTAAGAAAAAATAAGAATCTCCAAACAATAACCTAAATTTATACCTTAGGAAACTAGAAAGAGAAGAAGAAACCAGATCTGAAAGGAGTGGAAGGAAGGGAGTCATGAAGAATAGAATGAAAGCAAGCGAATGTATGGCACAAATCAAGAGAGAGAATAATGAAGATAAACATTGTATTCTTTAAAAAGGTAAATAAAATTCACATTTAGCTAGATTGACCATGAAAACAATAGAAAAGACTCAAGTTACTAAAATCAGAAACGAAAGTGGAGGCATTCCTACCAAACTTGGAGAACAGAGGCAGATACAGGCAGCATGCACCCAGCACGACATAATTCAGATGAAACAGACAGATTGCCAGAAACACATAAACTACCAAAACTGACCGAAAATAAACAGAAAATCTGAGCAGACTTATAAAAATTAAAGAGAATGAATCGGTAAATAAAAATTTCTGAACAAAGAAAAGCCCAGCCCCAGATTCTCCACTTCACTCATAAAGGAAAAAAACAAAACCTGATCATCTCGAGTGATGCAGAAAAAGCATTTTACAAAACCCAGCAGACCCTCAGGATGAAACACTCAGCAAACTGGAAAGGAAAGGAACCTTTCTCAACATGACAGAGGCCATATATGAAAAACCCACAGTGCGCACCAGGCTCAGCGGTGGTGGACTGCAAGCTCCCCTCTTATCCGGTGGGCAGAGTCATGGACACCTTCCCCGCCACTCTTAGAACAATTAGGCAAGAAAAAAGAAACAAAAGGCATTCAGATGGGAAAAGAAGTAAAATATCTGTATTCACAGACACATGATCTTCTCTGTAGAAAATCCTACAGAATCCTACAAAAAAACTATTAAATAAATTCAGGAAAGTTGATGGTACAAGATCAATACATAAAAATTAGTTGAATCTCTACATACCACAATTTCCTAAAGGAAATTAAGAGAACAATTCCCTTCACAATGATAGAAACATGTACTTTCTGCTTCCCACCTAAGTCTGGCATCCTGGCGGTGCCCACACTGGTGCCCAGTTCCCCAGGGGCAGTGAAACAGCAGAGACTCATTGCCTGCACAACAGAAGACCTCTGTCCACACGAGCCAGGAGCCCCAGCCGAAGTGGGCGCCCCCAGGAGTGGACACGGCTGAGCCACACTGCAGCCGGGCACACCACGTGGGCCTTGGCCCAGTCCAGGTGGGCATTGCAGCTGAGCCCCAGGTCAGGCCACACCTCACTTCCAGACACTGGCACAGGGGTGCTCGGCACCCACGAGCTGGGCCTCCGTGTGACCTGGGGGGACACTGAACTGAAACAGTCCATCAAGGGCAGGGTAAGCGTTTGACAGGTCTCTGGGAAATTGACCCGACTGTCTGGCCCTCCAGTCCCACAGGGAGGAAGGCTGCAGGAGGACCAGGACCACTTGGCCTGGCATAGCCCCAGCAGGCCCTCAGGCCACCACTGGAAGCCTGGGGGTGGGGGTCCTGCAGACTCTGAGGACCCTCCCGTCGCTCAGCACCTCCCAGGTCCTGGCCCTCACTCAGACTCGGACAGCAAAAGCTCATTTCCCACCTCCTCGGGCCCCATGGGAGCCAGGGGTAGATGAGCACAGCACCCTCAGCTCTGCACCGGAGGGCCTAGGGCCCCTACCCCAGGCTGGGGCTGCGTGCCCAGCTGGAACATTAGTCTCCTGGTCAGTCTTCAACCCTGGTGCGTAGTCACAGCGTGACCAGAACACTCGGAGCCCTGTGGGAGGGCACCTGCACTAGGAACCCCCAGCGGTGTCTGCCCCCCAGCGACTCCCAGACACAGCCTTCGGAGCAAGAACACAGGAAGGTTGTACATGGCAAAAATGCCCTCAAGGACTCTTTGTCCAGAAATTTCAAAAATTAGAAATCAAATATTCACCTTCCATCTCAATTTGTATCCTTAATTTTGATTTTCCTAAGTTTTCTCAGACTTTATTTTGATGGTGTCAATGACATTAAGGAATTAAAATATTAACAAATGAATGCCTAAGGACCGTTTTCTGAGGCATCTCCACAGAGTTAGGGTCTCGGCTCTTCATGTGCACATAGACGGTTCACTGCCTGCAAAGGGCTGAGACAGCCCATCTCTTTGGGGCCCACGTGGTGTGGTCCCCTCCTCTCATGGACCTCTTGGAACCCAGAGCCCTGTGGAGAGCAGCACATTCACCTGGAAGGAGGAGGGGCCACACCTCACAGCCACCTGGGCACGGAGAGTGTGCTCCACCCACCTGCAAACGATGACCGCACGGGTCAGGTGGGAAACACAGGACACATAGACCATGCACCTCGTAAATCATGCTCATATTTACACATCAGTGCAAAGAAAGGTTCTCATGGATATAAACCAGGATGCTGAGGGATTCATTTCTGAGTGTAGAACAAGTGTTTTCCATTCTCTTTCTTCATTCTATGAGTTTTTAAATTTACAGTAATAAACGTGTTTTGTTTTATAAACAGAATAAGATCAATAACGGTTGCTTTCCAAAAGATTTGCCAGATGACCAGTTTTCGAGAGGGCAGCTCAGGTTTTCAGACCAGTATGGAGGAGGTGAGGAGAATCTGGAGGAAGATGAGGATTTCCAGAGAGGGCAGGAGGACCCCATCGGCAGGACCCTCTACACAGTAGCTCCAGCGCCTCCCGAGCCACAGCCTGTGCGCTGCGCTGAGCTGCACCCCCAGCTCAGGGCTCAGGGACCTGCAGCTGCCTCAAGTGGGTCCCCCCATGCTCTTCCCTCACAAGAAGCTTAATCAATACCCTACAAATGGACTGAAAGGACCGGGGGCCACCGGGAAAAGCTCAGCACACAGCCATGAAGGGGGCACGGTCCGGGTGCCTGGGGCAGGTGCGGAGCGCTATGCTTTGGGGAAGGGCAGCACAGATAGAGGGGCCCCGCACACTTCCTCTAAGTCCCAACCGCTCTGGCTGCTTGGCTGACACCCTTACTCTGCACCCCATGTGTCTTCCAGACCCCTGTCCCATGCCCAGACCCCCACCCCACTTCCTGCCAGCTCCCTTCTCTCCCTCCTGACCCCAGGGGACGCACTCCAGCCGCACACCTTCCCCCATCCCCCAGGCCCAGGGATATCCAGTGTGAGGGTGACCAGGGTGTGGTCAGGGTGGGTGTGGTCAGGGAAGGAGGATGTGAGGGAGGGTGTGAGGGTGGGGTGGGGAGGGTGGGGTCAGATGGGCGTGGTCAGGGCGTGGTCAGAGTGGTGGTGGTCAGGGATGGAGGGTGTGAGGGTGTGGCCAGGTGGGCGTGGTCAGGGGCGTGGTCAGAGTGGCGGTGGTCAGGGATGGAGGGTGTGAGGTGTGGCCAGGTGGGTGTGGTCAGGGCGTGGTCAGAGTGGCGGTGGTCAGGGATGGAGGGTGTGAGGTGTGGCCAGGTGGGTGTGGTCAGGGCGTGGTCAGAGTGGTGGTGGCAGGATGCAGGGTGTGAGGGTGGGGTGGGGACGGACGGGAGGTGGAAAGGCTGTGGCAAGTGTGGTTGTGGTCACAAAGGGCTGGGCCCCTCGGTGAGTACTGGGGACTCTGGCACAACGGAACACCTGGGCCGGTTCCAGCACCCTCTGTGGATGTGAAGAGGGGCATCCAGGAGTTGGTTCGTCAGGGGCCCCCACCCCGGTGCGCACGGGAGAACCACGTGGCCAAGAAGCTGGGGGTGCAGAACGTTGAAAACACGCGCCCACACGGGACTGGGGTGAAGAGGGGGTAGCTGAGAACAGAACGTGGGCTGAGAGGGGGCGGTCTGAGGAATGTTTCTGAGATGAATTAAGGCATGAATGAGTGAGTTCAAAGGGACTTTAATGACATCTTTTAAAATGAGGACAATGAAAGCCCTCCAGGGCCTGGGCTCTCTCCCTGCTCTGGTCTCACTGATGTCCCCCATGGCCAGCTCACTGTCATCACGTCCTAGGGCACGCTGTGTCTTCCATCTCAGCCTGAGCTTTGGGGCCGAGGCTGCAAGGAGCCCCACCTGTGTTTAAGGAGAGAGACATGCACTGGGCCCCTTGGCCATCCCTCAGAAACCCCCCTGACTTCTGGGCCCTGGTGTGTCACTTGAAGCCAGAAGGTCAGACAAGGACTAGAGTGGGTGAGCCAGGGTCACACCGCTTCCCCTCCCACCCTGTCTGCTCAGGCTCCCTGTGGCCGGCCAGGACAAGGTACTAGAAGGGCCCTGTGGGCAGCCATGAAAAGAAACCCAAAGAAAACTCCAGGACCCTCCCTAAACTCCACATCCACCCACAGGAAGATTCCTGTCTAAGGAGCAACTTTGAAGGGACGGCCGAATTTCCTGACATCCAAGCCTGTGACACAGGAGTGAGGGTCATGGACACACGGGCTGATGGCTCTCAGGGTCTTTAAATGTAGGCACTGGCCAGAGCAGAGCCCCAGGCATAGGTGCAGTACAGAAGGGACAGCACGCCAGACAGCAAGGCGCAGAGGTGCACACCGGTGGGGCTCAGGGGCGTCTCCTCCTCTTCCTCCTCCTCCTCCTCAGGGCCCAGCTCCGGCTCCCCAGCGTCATCATACTCCTCCTCCAGGGCCAGGTTCTGGGACACTCTGGGCCCCTCGTCTTTCTCCCCCATGGGGTCAGCTCCGATGTCCTCATAAACACCTTCCGAGGGCAAACTCCTCAACGTTCTGGAACCTGCAAAGGCCACACCAGAGCCCTCTAGAAGAGACACCCCCACAGTCTGAGCCCCCCCACTGCTGGCCCTGTGGGGTCTCCCATGCGTGCAACCTGGGCCTTCTGCTGCAGTTGCCCACCAAGAGCAACGTCCCCCACAAGGGGCCACATGCCTCCCCGGCACCCAGGGCTGGTTAGCCCCACCACACAGATGGCCTGAGGAATCGGGACACCACTGGGGACTTGTTCTCACACCCAGGCCCCCCTTCAGAAGCAAAGCAGGGCCCAGGATGCCCTGAGTCCCCAGGGTCCAAAAATGTCACTGGGAAGTCGCCATGCAGTGGGGGTGCAGGTGTGACCGGGCATGCAGAGCAGTTTCCAGGGCAGAAGAGGCCTGTGATGGGCTGGGGTCTCAGAGTGTGCGCCCCCAACCTCCCCAACCCGAGCCTTGTGTTCACCTCCCCAACCACATCCACCTACCCCTGCAGGTTCTGCCACGGTACCCCTGCGCCCCCAGGACCAGGGAGACAATGACCAGCAGGGTGCCGAGGACAACGCAAAACATCATGGGCAGGTTCCCGGCCTCGAGGGCAGACGCGGGGGCCAGGGGAGGGCCTGTGGGGACAGTGAGAGGCGGGGTCCCCCCTGTGTGCCTGGGGCATTGTGACCTTGGGTCCGGACCCCCTGAGCCTCTCAGGGAGGGGGAAGGCACCCAGAGGAGAGATGGCCCCGAGGTCCTCGGGCAAGGGTCAGGAGGGAGGCGGCACAGGAGGGAGGGGGCCAGAAGGGAGGCCACAGTGTTCCCAGGTCAAACCCCCCAGTTGGTAAAAGAAAGACCCCAGAGAAGTGGCTGGGCAGGGCCTGAGCCTGCTGTCCCTCCCAGTGGCTCTCCACACAGGAGGATGCACAGCCATTTTCCTTGGAGGAGTGGGTGGTCGTGGTCCTCCTGACCTTGGCCCGAGCAGCCTAAGGAGGGGCCGACTGGAGCCTTGGCACCCACAGGAGACTCCAGGGCACCCCTCTGTACAGAACCCATTGTAGGGCCCCTCTGAGTTGGGGCCAGACAGGAGAGCATGAGCTGAGCCCCGAGGGAGAGCACACTACCCGATGTCTGTGCCAGTGCTGGCGGCAAGGCCGTGGTTCCCCTGTCACCTGCAAGAGAAATAGGAAGGATCTGAGGGCCAAGTCGGGGAGGCAGCCACAGCCCTGGGCAGCCTAGACCCTTACCCAGACCCTCAGGGAAGTGTCCCAGCCCCACTCAGCCTGAGCCAGCATGTCATGGGACAACCACAGAGGCAGCCAGAGGAAGCCAGCACAGCCTCAGGGCCAGGTTCTGGGGGGATCCTCGGAGGAGCCCTCTGGCAACCCCTCCCCCACCCCCAACAAACCCTCCCAGCCCGCCTGTCCCGCTACCCCCTGCCCACTCACGGGAGCAGCGCACGCCCGCATCCTCCTTGTGCCCACAGTCTCCGAGGCCCCATGGCTCTGTGGGACAGCTCCACAGGGATGCCTCGCTGCCACGGCACCCCACCTCGTCCAGCCACACAGGCCCCGAGCCTGGCCCAAAGGCAGCCCCCACAAGGGCACCCACAGCCGGGCCACAGCCCAGCTGGCGGCACACCACCTCTGCGTCTGCCAGGTCCCAGGAATCATCACACACGGTGCCCCAGGAGCCAGCATGCCAGAGCTCCACGCGGCCAGAGCAGTTGTCCTTGCCCCCACGCACACGCAGCATACCCTCTTCTGGAAAGGGGGGTTGTGGTCACTGCAGGGCAGGACCAAGATGAAGAGTGGACAGGGAGATGGACAGAAGGGTACCTGGGCAGCTGTGGGTGGATGAGCAGTTGAGGGTCTCCCCGGAATCCTGTGTCATTTTCTCTGACAATCCTATTGGATTAAGTAGGCACCATCCCACTGTAAATGCCCTGAAAAGCTTCAGAATGCAGTTTGTAGAACCCACATGACCCCCAGGCCCTGAATCATGGATGGGTGGTTTGTCAGAAACCACCAGCATCCCACCTGCACAGGTGATCCAGACCTCCTCTCCAGGGGTACAGGAATGTGGGTACCATGGTGCCGAGGGGCACTGCCACAGTGTGGAGTTTCTCAGCCTGCGGCACTCGATGTTGTCCACCCAGGAGGTGCCTGAGCCAGTGTGGATGGGTCTGTTCTCTAGCCAGCCCTGCTCCCCACAGCCCAGCTGCTTGCAGATGATGGACAAGGAGATGTCCTTCAGGGCATTACTGCACACGGCGCCCCACGTCCCATTGTAGAACACATCCAGCCACCCAGCACAGTGGTGGATACCACCTCGCAGTCTCAGAGCCACTGACCCTGGAAGACAAGAGCAGTCAGGCCAGGGGAAATCTCCAAAGGAGAAGGCCAAAATGAGAGGGTCCCAGCACTGGCATCAGTGCTGCTCGGGACATCTAACCCAGGGAGCCCCTGGCATGAACCTTAAATCAATCACGCATCCCCATGACAATCTCCACCCCAGGGATGTAGGTAGCAGTTAATCTCAGGTGACCAGATTTAATCCCCAGCTGTAACATCTTAGCAGGTGTCAGCTAATTGTCCAGAAATCCATCTTTGGAAATCATTCAAAATAGAGAATAATCCGGGTGCTAAATGAGAAAAATATGCAGCCAAGAATACTTTATCCATCAAGGCTGTCATTCAGAATACAAGGAAAGACAAAAAAAAAAAAAAAAAAAAAAAAAAAAACCCCAAAAAAAATTTTTTCCCAAAAGGGGTGTTTAAAAAAAAAGGAAAAAAAAAAAAAAAAAAAAAAAAAAAAAAAAAATCCTCCAGGACAAACAGAAACTAAAAGAATTTGTGATCACTAAACCAGCCCTGCAAGAAATATTAAAGGGGATCTTTTAAGCAAAGAGAGAGCCCAAAAGTAACAAAGACCAGAAAAGAACAGAGACAATATACAGAAACAGGGACTTTACAGGTAGTACAATGGCCCTAAATTCATATCTTTCAATAGTTACTCTGAATGTAAATGAGCTAAATGCCCCAATCAAAAGACATAGGGTATTAGATTGGGTAAAAAAGCAAGACCCATGATATGCTGTCTGCAACAGACTCATTTTAGACCTAAAGACACCTCCAGGTTGAAAGTGAGGGGTGGAAAATCTTTATCATGCTAACAAACATTAAAAGAAAGCTGGGGTAACAATCCTTATATCCGACAAATTAGATTTTAAAACCAAAGACTAATAAGACATGAGGAAGGACACTATATCATACTTAAAGGGTCTATCCAACAACTGTAAATATCTATGCCCCTAACATTGGAGCAGCCAATTATATAAACCAGTAAATTAAAGAAACACATTGATAATAATACAATAAAAAATTGTGTTATAATAATACAATAAAAAATAATACAAAAAAAATTAAAGAAACACATTGATAATAATACAATAATAGTAGGGGACTTTAACACCCCATTCACCACAATGAACAAATCATCTAAGCAGAAGATCAAGAAAGAAACAAGAGCTTTGAGTGACACACTGGACCAGATGGACTTAACACATATGTTCAGAGCATTCCATCCTAAAGCAACAGAATACACATTCTTCTCAACTGCACATGGAACATTCTCCAGAACAGATCACATACTGGGTCACAAATCAGGTCTCAACTGGTACCAAAAGATTTGGATCATTCCCTGCAACAGTACATTAAAACAATTACCACAACCAAGTGGGATTTATTACTGGGCTGCAAGGATGGTTCAATATCCACAAATCAATCAATGTGATACACTACATTAATAAAACAAAGGAAAAGAACCATATGATCTTCTCAATAGATGCAGAAAAAGTATTGACAAAGTACAGCATCCTTTCTTGATTAAACCTCTTCACAGTGTAGTGCTGCACACAGTGTGGATCCCTCTATCCCCCACAGGGATAGAGGGAACATACCTCAATATCATAAAAGCCACATATGAAAAGTCCACAGTGAATATCATTCTCAATGGGGAAAACTTGACAGCTTTTCTCCTAAGGTCAGGATGCCCACTCTCACCACTATTGTCCAACATAGTACTAGAAGTCCTAGCCTCAGCAATCAGACAACAAAAAGAAATAAGAGGCATCCAAATCGGCAAAGAAGAAGTCAAATTCTCACTCTTTGCAGATGACATGATACTCTATGTGGAAAACCCGAAAGACTCCACCACAAAATTGCTAGAACTCATACAGGAATTCAGCAAAGTCGCAGGATATAAAATCAATGCACAGAAGTCAGTTGCATTTCTATACACTAACAATGAGACAGAAGAAAGAGAAATTAAGAAGTCGATCTCATTTACAATGGCACCAAAAACCATAAGATACCGAGGAATAAACCTAACCAGAGAGGTAAAAGATCTGTACTCTGAAAAGTATAAAACACTCATGAAAGAAATTGAGGAATACACAAGGAAATGGAAAAACATTCCATGCTCATGAATTGGAAGAACAAATATTGTTAAAATGTCTATGCTACCCAAAGCAATCTATGCATTCAATACAATCCTTATCAAAATACTATCAAGTTTTTTCACAGAGCTGAAACAAATAGTCCTAAAATTTGTATGGAACCAGAAAAGACCCCAAGTGGGCAGGGGAATGTGGAAAAAGAAAACCAAAGCTAGGGGCATCACAATTCCAGACTTCAAGCTGTATTACAAAGCTGTGATCTCCAAGACAGTATGGTACTGGCACAAAAACAGACACATAGATCAATGGAACAGAACAGAGAACCCAGAAATCGACCCTCAACTCTATGGTCAACTAATCTTCACCATAGCAGGAAAGAATATCCAATAGAAAAAAGTCAGTCTAGGGGTGCCTAGGTGGCTCAGTCGTTAAGCGTCTGCCTTCAGCTCAGGTCATTGTCCCAGGGTCCTGGGATCGAGCCCCGCATTGGGCTCCCTGCTCGGCAGGAGGCCTGCTTCTCCCTCTCCCACTCGCCCTGCTTATGTTCCCTCTCTCACTGTCTCTCTGTCAAATAAATAAAAAATCTTTTAAAAAAAGAAAAAGAAAAAGAAAGACAGTCTCTTCAACATATGGTATTGGGAAAACTGGACAGCCACCTGCAGAAGAATGAAACTGGACCATTTCCTTACACCACACACAAAAATAAACTCAAAATGGATGAAAGATCTAAATGTGAGACAAGAATCCATCAAAATCCTAGAGGAGAACATAGGCAGTAACCTCTTCAACACTGGCCACAGTGACTTCTTTCAAGACATGCCACCAAAGGCAAGGGAAACAAAGAAAAAAGTGAACTATTGGGACTTCAAGATAAAAAGCTCCTGCACAGCAAAGGAAACAGTCAATAAAACCAAAAGACAACCCACGGAATGGGAGAAGATATTTGCAAATGACATGTAAGATAAAGGGCTATTATCTAAGATCTATAAAGAACTTCTCAAATTCAAAACCCAAAGAACAAATAATCCAGTCAAGAAATGGGCAGAAGACATGAAAAGACATGTCTCCAAAGAAGACATACAAATAGACAACAGACACATGAAGAAAAATGTTCATCATCATTGGCATCAGAGAAATTCAAATAAAGACCACAATGAGATACCACCTCACACCAGTCAGAATGGCTAAAATTAACAAGTCAGGAAACATCAAATGTTGGCAAGGATGCGGAGAAAGGGGAAACCCTCTTACACTGTTGGTGGGAATGCAGACTGGTGCAGCCACTCTGGAAAACAGTATGGAGGTTCCTCAAAAAGTTAAAAATAAAGCTATCCGATGACCCAGCAATTGCATTAGTGGGTATTTACCCCAAATATACAAATGTAGTGATCCAAAGGGGCACCTGCACCCCAATGTTTATAGCAGCAATGTCCACAATAGCCAAACTATGGAAAGAGTCCAGATGTCCATCGACAGATGAATGGAAAAATAAGATGTGGTCCATATTTACAATGGAATATTACTCGGCCACCAAAAAGATTGAAATCTTGCCATTTGCAACAACATGGATGGAACTAGAGGGTATTGTGCTAAGCAAAGTAAGTCAGTCAGAGAGACAATTATCATATGATCTCACTCATATGTGGAATTTAAGAAACAAAAGAGATGAACATAAGGGAAGAGAGGAAAAAATAAAACAAAACAATATCAGAGAGAGAGAAAAACCATAAGAGACTCTTAACTATAGGAAACAAACTGAGGGCTGCTGGAGGGGAAGGGGTGGGGGGATGGGGTAATTGGGTGATGGGCATTAGGAGGGCATGTGATGGAATGAGCACTGGGTGTTGTATAAGACTGATGAATCACTGAACTCTACCTCTGAAACTAAAATGCATTATATATGTTCGTTGAATTTAAATTAAAAAAAACAAAGTACAGAATAATCCTTGTGCACAAGATGATCAATGTAGCAGTGATTATAAAAACTTAAAAAATTGAAAAACAGGAATGAGTGCAGTTTCATGTTCAGAGAGCATCAACCCGGGCTGGTCATGGCCCAAGTACCATCACATTACCCTCAGGCAAGGCAACTCCAACAACACTGAGATGTCTTAAGTAAACCATAATATCACCACTAATAAAGCATTAGACAGTCCTTTGAATTATGTTATGAGAGTCCACAAATACATTAAAAATACCTCTGCAGGATATGAATTGCATGTGATGGGGCCATAACAAATTAAAATTTAAATAAGCTTTAAAAAAATGCTTGAAGGATGTACATCCATGACAGATTACCAAAGTGGCCCCTAAGATATCCTGCTGTACCCACACCCCTTGAAATGAGTCTGGGCTGACCCCCTGAATCTGGGCTGGCCTTGGGACTTCAGCCAACTGACCAAATGGGGTAAGAGTGACCCACGCCCGTCCCAGGCCTGGGCATCACACACGTGCCTGGCCTGCTTTGGCTCTCGCTTTTGGAACATTGCTTCCATGTTGAATCATAACAGAAACAGAGAGTCCCCCACCCCTGCCAACAACCAGTTCCCAGCAGCAGAATCCTATCAGTCAGCAAGTGATCAGCTGCCTGAGGGAGCCCCTGAGACAGAAGAAGGAAGGCAAACTTGCCAAGTTGAAATGCACATCCAAGAACTTTTGTTGACACACAAGCATTAAATCCGTGATGTATACAAAACCTAGAGACACTCCCCCAGAATATATGAGAAAAGACCAGAGCCCCCCCAAAAAAATAATGAATAAAAAGGACAAGGAAGATCTAAAATAATGAGCTGAAATGTCACTTTGAAAGACACACAAGGATTGAAAGAGAGCGATCATCAGACATCAGATGAGGAAAACTTTCCTAAAGCAAAACCAGTAAGAAGAAAGCACAGTGAACGCTCAACTCCGTCCTGGAGGGCAGCCCTGCGCAGACCCCTCACAGGCTCACACCCCCCAATAAATGACACTCTGTCCCTCGGGAATGACCACACCCACACACTACCAATATAAAGAGCCTCAGATATGCATAAGCTTTCATACACCACCTTTAAAGCATTCTGGAAAAAGGCCTCCAGAACACTGAAATAAGGGTCCAAAGAGTTTGAGACAGAGAAAGCTCACACACAAATGTGAGCTGAGCCTGTGAGCAGGGGTGACAGACCCCAGGCAGTGCTGGTCCAGGACCGCCAGCGGCATCTGAGCAGACCCGCACCCTCCCCCCGCCGCGGTCTCCTGTCCACCCCCCCCAACCCCCACCGGGGTCTCCTGTCCACCCCTCCCCGTGCCCCCACCCCCGGCAGCGTAAAGTTGCTCTGGCCTGCAGCGTCACTGCAGCAAGAGAACACTGTCCAATACACCGTGGAGCTCTCCATGCCGGGAAGAGACGTTAGTGGAATCCGTGGAAGGCAAGTGTACGAGACGTTATGCACTAGGACAGCGCGACCATTCGATACCCAGCTGCCCCATAAAGACAGTCAACTAACAGGACCCACCTGAGCAGATGACGCCGGCGTCCTCCTTGTGCCCACAGTCCTGCTGGCCCCAGCCCCGCGACGGGCACTGCCACAGCGCAGACTCGTGGCCGCGGCAGCCCAGCTGGTCCATCCAGATGCGCCCCGACCCCGCACCGAAGGGCGCGGCCCCCAGGGCGCGGAGGGCTTGGCCGCAGCCCAGCTGCCGGCAGACCACGTGGGCGTCCCGCAGGTCCCAGCCGTCGTCACACACGGTGCCCCACGTGCCCCCGTGCAGCACCTCCACGCGCCCCGCACAGCGGTGGGGCCCCGCGGCCAGCCGCACCCGCCGGCTCCCTGCGGAGACACGCGGAGTCAGGGCGGCCGGCCCGCGGGCAATGGGCCGGCGGCGCGGGCACTCACTCACCGGAGCACACGACGCCCGCGTCCCGCGAGGCCCCCGAGGGTACCAGCGGGGATGCGGACACGTTGCACTGGGTCAGGCGAGTCTCGGTGCCCTGACAGCGCGCGCGGCTCAGCCCCACCGGGACCGCCCCGCGCCTGGGCGCAGGCGCGTCGTAGGCCCGGTCAGCCTGTCCGCACCCCAGCTGCCCGCACACCACGCGGGCGCCGCGCAGGTCCCACGCGTCGTCCAGGACGCGGCCCCACACCCCATCCAGGGAGACCTCCGCGCGGCCATCGCAGCGGCTCTGTCCGTCCCTCAGCCGCAGGGCGTTGAGGAGACCTGGGGAAGACGCACGCATGGACAGGGGGTCAGGGGGAGACAACCACCACCTCCCAGCAGAACCCCGCCCACTCCCAGCCTCCCTCAGCCCGCCGCTCTTGCGGACCCACCTGAGCAGACCGCGGCAGCCGTGTTTCCCAGCGCACAGGCCCCGGCCCCCAGGGTGCTTACTGGGCAATTCCACAAATAGGGTTCTGTCCCCACACAGTGAAACACATCAGGCCAGATGGGAGCGTCCCCGTTCCCAAAGTGGCCTCCTCGGGGTGTGGCCTCCGCACTACCGCAGTTGAGCTGGTGGCAGAGGACGGTGGCATCTGCTAAGTCCCACTGGGCAGCACAGAGGGGTGCCCAGGCCCCCTGCACTTGGAGCTCCACGCGCCCCTCACAGCTGCTGCTGCCGTTAACCAGCCGGAACTCTGAAGACGGGAGTGGGAGTCAGCATCCCCCTCAGCCACAGACCAGCTTCTTTCCTTTGCACCCAGTGCGCCGCCCGCCACAGCCATGCCCTTGCCTCACTAGTTCCCTCCCCACCTCAGCCTCAGCATCCAGATCATGCCTCTGCAGATGTGCCCACAGACTATGGTGTAGCCACGGTGGGGGGGCACAATCCTCTCCTCCCCCTCAACCCACAGAAGCAACACGTCGCACGCCCTTCTGGCCAGAGGCACCTGTATGAGCCTAGTTTAGAGCCCCCAGAGGGAGTCACCAAGGGAGGCTGGCAGGGAAGGCTACCTGAGGCTACCCTCCCAGCCTCACCTGAGCACCTGAGCCCGGCATCCTGGCGGTGCCCACACTGGTGCCCAGGCCCCCGGGGGCAGTGGAACAGCAGAGACTCATTGCCTGCACAGTGGAAGGCCTCTGTCCACACAGGCCCAGAACCCCGGCCGAAGTGGGCGCCCCCAGGAGTTGACACAGCCGAGCCGCACTGCAGCTCCCGGCACACAACATGAGCCGTTGCCTGGTCCAGGTCAGCGTCACAGACAGTGCCCCAGGTCAGGCCACGCCTCACTTCCAGACGCCCGGCACAGGGGTGCTCACCGCCCTCCAACCGGGCTTCCATGTGTCCTGGGGGAGGACACAAACTCTCAGTTAGGGATAAGTGTTCTCAGGTGAACAATTCAGCCACCTCCCTGGGCCACAGGAGGCTCCAGCCAGGGTAGACCATCTGTAATCAGGCAGTGGGTCTGCAAGCCCTGGGCAGAAACTGATAGCCAGAGGCCCATACACTCTCCACCTAGAACAGAGCAGGAGTCCCTGGTCACTTCCCTGAGATCAGAGGTCAGAGTCACCTCCTCCAGGTGCCCACAGGTGTCACACAGCCTCTGCCTGCCCAGGGCAGGGGCATCAAGACCCTGTATAGTCTTGGAAGCCAGGTCAAGACACCTCTCCGGCCACAGATCACTGCCTTCTTGGGGGCACCAAGGAAGGTGACCCATCCACCTCACTTTAGCTTTTCCTGATTCCCAGAACACAGGCAGGATCTATGAGGGCCAATTCACTTGCCCATTTGAGACAGGACTGGGAGGGGGCAACCACAAGCCAGCTGACTCATGTTGTAAGGCAACAATCACAGCTCAACCAGCACAGACGCTGCAGGACAGCCAGGACCCCAGCCGGCCCGGGGGTTCTGAGCCAGGACACGTCTGTGGGGACACACACAGGTGACTCAGTGAGGCACCCGAGGAGCCATCCAAGAGCACTTCCTGTGTTCTCACCTCGAGGCCTCTGTTCCAAGCAGCTGTGAGCTAGAGAATGCCAGATGGTCCCAGTGCCTGCCCTCACCTGTCCAGCCCATCCCTAATTCATCTGAGACACCAAGCTGCCCAGGTGTCAAGAGGAGATGGGTCTGTGAGAGCTGAGACCACTCCCAACAGCTCCTTCCCTAGAGGTCTGCACCCTGAGACTCAGGCGAGCCCCACGCTGGGCCTCACCTGAGCAGACCACCTCCGCGTCCTGCCGGAAGTCACAACCACTGCGGAGATTATTGTTGAGTCTGCAGTTCCGGATAGTGGGCTCGGTACCCCTGCACGTCATGTACTTCCTGACGACCCCCACGTCTTGGCGGGGGGCCTGAAGCACAGGCCCACACCCCAGCTCCTGGCAGAACACCGTGGCCTCCTCCTCATGCAGGCCGCAGAGGCGATCCACCCCATTCACATTCCTGATCTCGGGCAGTCCAGAGCAGGGGCTGCGGCCCTTTACCAGCCGGATCTCCCGAAAGGTGCCATCTGAGAAGTACAGGCCCAGTGACAGAAGGTGGGGACTCTGCTGGCCGCATGGCCACTCAGAGCCTCTGGCCTGCCTCCATGACCAGACCCCATTTGGGCATGGCAGTCCCTACGCTGGGCCTGGGTCAGAGTCTGCAACCAACCCTGCTCCTTCCAGAGGGTCCAGAGGGCACTTTCTGAGAGCAGCCAGTCACAAAGGCCCCCCCACTCAGAGGACCTGAGCCTGGGTTAATACTCTGCTGTCACTGTCTTGAAAATCTTGTTGTTGAACAAGGGTCCCTGCATTTTCACTTTATACTGGGCTCCATTAAACATGCAGTGGGTCAGCTTCACAGACAGGAGGCTATGGGGGGCCGCACAAGTTCACAAGTGCCCAGAGACAGCAGAAGACCCTCAAGATAGACCTCAAAAGGAAAGCATTTGCCTCCTCAACATTTTTGAAATCATGTTTAAATACCTAATGTTAAACACCGACAGACACCCTCAGGTGTCTAGAAGACAGGGTGGTCCCTAGCCACCCCCCCCCCGTCTGTCCGTTTCCCGCCTCTCCACACTCCCACATTGCTGTTGTACTTCTTTATTTACTCTGTTTCCCCCTAGGAGAGTACAGGCTCCATGCAGCAGGATTTTTGTCTGATTTAATCACAGCTGTATCCCCAGCACCCAGAACAGTGCCTTGCAAATAAGCACTTGTTGAATGAAAAGCAAAGGACCCCTAACAGAAGGTATGAAAGAGGGCGCCTGGGTGGCTCAGTTGGTTAAGCAACTGCCTTCGGCTCAGGTCATGATCCTGGAGTCCCTGGATCGAGTCCCTGGATCGAGTCCTGCATCAGGCTCCCGGCTCGGCGGGGAGTCTGCTTCTCCCTCTGACCCTCCCCCCTCTCATGTGCTCTCATGTGCTCTCTCTCTCTCTCCTTCTCTCTGTCTCAAATAAATAAATAAAATCTTAAAAAAAAAAAAAAAAAGAAGGTATGAAAGAGTCATGAGAGGTTGGAAGGCTTTACAGGTGGGGATGGTTCCCATGCCCAGTAAGGAGCCCCCCCGCCCAGATCCTCTCCCCTTGCCCCTCCCCCAGACCTACCCTCTTCCCCCTCCACAGCTCCCCCCTGCGCCCGACTTACTTGCGCACAGAGCAACCACCACCCACTCGTGAGGGCACTTGCTCCGAGTCCAAGCCCCGAGGCTGCACTCCCAGAAGGAGGGCTCATCACCCCTGCAGGACACGTTGTGGAGCCAGGGCTGCACCATCTCCCCGGGCAATGGGACGTACTTGGGGGCACCCACGGCATGGCCACAGCCCAGCTGCCTGCAGACCACGGACGCCTCCGCCAGCGTCCACTCCTGGTTGCACACGTGTCCCCACTGCTCCTCGTGGCGGACCAGCACCACTCCGTCACAGGAACTGTGTCTGTACGCCAGCCTCAGGTCGCCCGGTCCGCCTACAGAAGGACAGGCCCGCCTCAGAGGGGCCCAGAACCGTCTTTGTGGGGGTGGGGGGAGAGCCGGCTGTAGCTGGGAGGTATAAAGACGCCTGCGTTTGCCCGCGGCCACTTCCAAGGTCTTGCTGCGAGGCCTCAGCACAAAGTCAGGTCCCCCTGACCCCCCAGTCCGCCCCGTCCAGAAAGGTGATGGGATGGGGTCACACAGAGACCCGCCCACTGCCCCCACGCACCCTGCGTCCTTGCCTCCACAGTCCCCCTCCCCCAACCATGTCTTCTGCTCCCCTCCCAAGCCCTCTGGGGACCCCTACGATGTGGGTGACCCCACCCCCCAGGCAAGGAAGTCCCTTGTCCGCTGCCTGGAACTGGGGCGGCTCTTCCCACCACCCCACCACGCCTCCCAGTCGTAATTTCCCCACTTCCACTGGCGGGCCTGTGGCCCACCACACGCACCCCACCACTCTCCATTCCCTGCTCACCTCTACCCCACCCCCCGGACGGCTGCCTGTCTTTCCAGTTCCACTCTCCCAGGCGGCCTCCTCGGGTTTCAGGTCTCGGCAGCTCCCGGGACCAGGACCAAATGGACCACCTCACCAGGACCAGGATGTATTTCCAGAACCACACCCCTTCTAGGCCTCTGCACCCTGGTTTCTCCTGCACAGCCCTTCCCCATCACAGCCCCTTGATCCCCGATTCTCACGACCCCTTCCTGGGCTGCTGCTGGAGAAACAGAACAGCAGTCACAGAGAAGTCTCTGTCCCAGCCTGGGCCACTCCAGACCACCTCCAGGGCCCATCCTGGACTCACAGAGGGAGGAGACAGAGGGCAGACTCCCATACACAGATCCAGAGGAAGGCTTGTCCCTCTCCCCACTGCTCTCACTGACCCCTGAGGGTCTTCATTCATCACTGGTACATCTCTGGTACATCCCCCTCCAACCTGTGCATGGGTGTCTGCATCTCTAACACAAAACGGGATCCCCTCCGGTTTTCCTACAGCACTCCCACAACGGCATCACTGCCCACAGATTCCTGCCACCACTACCTAGAGCACCCCTACTGTCCAGCTCTGAGGCCACCTGGGCTGGGCCAGGGATCAGCCTGCCCAGTGAGGTGCTCTTCCATCAGTTTCCAGGGCACTGGACACTGCTACCCTCTCCCGTCTCCCTGTGCGACTCACACGCTCACTCTCTGACACCAACACTATCACTCACCCAGTCAGGGGCCCCAGGCTACTGTATGCAGTCTCCCCCAGGGGCTTGCTCCCTCACTACCAGCCATTCTGTGTTGTTCCATCCGGCAGAACCCCCTCTGTACAGCTTGCTGCCCATGATTCTGCCTCTTGGTTTCTGGACCCAGCAGCATCCCACACCCCTGTGCCCCCCACCTTGCTACTGCGACTCCCTGCAACTGTGTCTCTCTTCCATGTCTCAGCACAAGCCTAATGGTCACCCTCACTGCCAGGTACAGCTGACTTTCCCTCTCCCCCACCAGCCACCCAGCCCCAGGGAAAGCAGATGGAGCAGCCCCTCTGCAGTACCTATCAACACCTCCTGTCCATGGGGATCACTGGGACCAGACACTAGCCATGTCCCCTCATTCCATCCAGGCTCTGACCCAGCCCTGCGCCCCACATTCACCCTGGGATTAGATCTGCTCAGTCTTCGTTAGAACAAGAGTCTCCAGGGATACACACTTTGGAGCCCACATGCCCACTTGCCCCAGGATGACCCATACACCTCTGGGCTGAGCAAGAGCCAGAGAGACAGCTGGTCATAGCAGAAAACCCCCACACCCCAGGGTCTCAAGCTCTACAGAACCACTGCCTCCAGAAGCTTCCATGGATGAGGGAAGGAGAAACTTACCAATGGGGACTGCCCTGAGAGTGAGGAGAAGGGTTCCCAGTCCCAAGGCCCAGAGAACTGTCTTCATGGCCCTGTGACCCAAGGGCTCAGCCAGCTCCAGCCGCTCAACTGGGGCAATGCAGAGATTACAGTCAAGAGTCAAATATACAGAAGTAGGAGCCACCAGTGGCCTCCAGGAACCAATGGGGACAGTGAGGGCCTTTCCAGAACCTATCAGGGGTCTGTCTCTCTGTCTCTGAGCAGAGCAACCAATGGTCTTGGCAGCCCTGAGCATTGCCAGATATGAGCGAGGGGCCCAGGCTGTGGGTTTCCTCCCGCACTGATAACTGCTGACAGGGTAGCTTTACTCAGACCCCATAGTCAGACAGGTGGTCCAATCTGCCCACAGCCACAGCAGCAGCAACAAAGCCCTGTGTGTCTCTACCCTCCGCCCAGGCCCAGTAGCCTTGGCTCCGCACCACAGTGACACAGTGACACCAGACTTCTGGGGACCAGCAGGAACTGAGTGGAAGCCCCACAGCACCAGAAGAATGAGACAGCCCAGGATAGCTTTTCAAGGCCCCTAAAAACTGAACTGTCATTAGACCTAAAGCCACAAAAGGACAGAACCCATAGTCTGAACCTAAACAGGATGACTACCTGCTGACATGGAAGAGTCTCCCAACATCACAGTCCAGACTACAAGTGAAAATCATCCATCATATGAAGAATCAGGAAAACAACAATTTGATGATAAAATACAATGAACTGATACAAGGTGAAGTTGATCTCAGAACTATCTGCCGAGGATTTTAAAGTAGACTTCATAAAAGATGCTTCCACAGTAAATTGCAAACTCTTTTGAAACTAATGGGAAAAAAAAATAGAAAATCTCAGCAAAGAAATAGAAGTTATAAAAATGAACTGCTGGTGAGGTGTGGAAAAATTGGAACATTCATGAGATTGGAAAATGGTGCAGCCACTTTGGAAAACAGTTTGGCAGTTATTCATAATGTTAACCCAGTAATTCCACTCCTAGGTACATATCAAAGAGAAATTAAGTTATGTGCACATAAAAACCTGTATATAAATATTCATAGCAGCATTATTCATAATAAACAAAAAATAGAAACAAGCTAAATGTACATCAATTGATGAATGGATAAACAAATGTGGTCTATCCACAGCGCAGAACATATTCAGCCGTTGAAAGGAGTCCCACATCAGGCTCCCTGCTTAGCAGGGAGTCTGCTTCTCCCTCTCCCTCTGCCCCTCTCCCTGCTCATGCACTCTCTCTCTCTCTCAAATAAATAAATAAAATCTTTTTTTGAAAAACTCACCCAATGGACTCAAGAATAGAATGGAAATGCCAGAGGACAGCATCAGTCAAACTGAAGACAAATAAAAAGAATTTACTTAATGTAAACAACAGAGAGAAAATAGACAAAAAAATTAATACAGCCTCAGAGACCTCTGGGACAATAACAAAAAAGATAATATTTCTATCATTGGAGATCTAAGAAGGAGAAGAGAGAAAAGAATGTTAAGAAACTGAAAACTTGGCACGACATAAACTTACAGATTCAGGAAGCTGAGCAAACTCCAAACAGGATAAACCCAAAGAAATTCACTCCAAACCACATCATAAGTAAAATTCTGAAAACTAAGAATTAAAAAAAAAAATCCTAAAAGCAGACAAAGAAAAACAATACATTATCAATAAAGGAAAACCAATTTGAATGATAGCAAATTTCTCATCTAAAATGGAGACCAGTAGGTAGTGGAAGACCCATTTTTAAGAGCTGAGAGAGAGGGTGTGTCAAGCTTGTATGCTACGTCTGTGAAACTATCCTGCACAAATTACAGGGAAATAAAGACAACCTCAAATGAAGGAAAACAAGAGAACTTCTTGCTAGAAGACATACTGTTACATAATGGCTAAAGAAAACCTTCCAATCAGAAAGCAAATGATTACAAAAAGATGGGACTTTCAGAAAGGAAAGAACAATGAAATGGGTAAAAGTAGAAGTGACCATAATAGACTATCCTTCACTTTGTGAGTTTCTTTAATCACATTTTATGTTATAACACCACCTGAAGTGGTGCTCAGTGAATACAGAAGAAATACTCCAGACAGTTCTATGTTTAAAGTAGGAGGGTAAAAAAAAAACTAAATATAAGTAAGGTTTCTATATTTCACTACAAGTGTTAACACGACAACACCAGAAGGCTGTTATAAGTTACATATAGTATCATATATAAGTTACATATAAGGTAACCAATAAAAAAATCATACAAAACTCAAATACATTATAAATACATCAAAATAGAAGTCTGAAAAATGTTCACATAACTCATAGAGAGAGAAGGGGAAAAGAAACAGATACATGAAAACAGGGGAACAAATAGGAAACAAAAAGTAAATGGCAGATATAAGCCCTAAAACATTAGTAATAACTTAGATGTAAATGTTCTAAATACACACATTAAAAGGCAGATGTTGGGGGCGCCTGGGTGGCTCAGTCAGTTGGGCAGCTGCCTTCAGCTTGGGTCATGATCCCAGGGTCCTGGGATTGAGCCCCACATGGGGCACCCTGCTTGGGTTAGGGTTAGGGTTAGGGTTAGGGTTAATGTTGGCAAAGTGAATTTTGGCTGGAGTGGCTATATTGATATCAGAGAAAAATTTCAGATAAAAGAAAATTACTAGGAAGAATAGGGAACATTACATAATAATAAAAAGGATGAATCCACCAAAAAGATAGAACAATCCTAAATATGTATGTGCCAAACTACAGAACTTCAAAATATATGAAGCAAAAATGGATAAAGCCGAAAAAAGAAATGGACAAATCCACAATTCTACTTGGAGACTTCAAGATGTCTCTCACAGCAATTGACAGAACTACTGGAGATAAAATCAGCAAGATATGGAAGAACTGAACACCATCAACCAATGGATCTAATTCACATCTGCAGAACACTCCACACAACAAAAGTAGAATACACATTTGTTTCACACACATGGGACATTCACCAAAATTTGTATCTTAGTTCATAAAACAAACCTTAACAAACTTAAAAGAATTTAAATCATACAGAATATATTTTCTGACCATAATAGATTCAAACAAGAACTCAATAACAGAAAGACAACAGA